CTGGGGAATTCTGGGAGTTGAAGTCCACGCATCTTAAAGTTGCCACGTTTGAAAAACACTGAACTAGAACAACCAGGTCTGAGCTACAAAATCCACATGGCCATTAGATGAAAGACAGAAAAATGTTTTTGCTCTTTCTCTAATGCTGTTGACTTCCTGAACTCATGGCAGGTTGTCCATACACAGCTATATTGTCTTAATATCTTATTTTATAAATTCCCACTCTATAGCACAGAGTTTTGGCACAGACAGAACGCACAGGCTCTAAGTGGCCCAACAGAAAATAATTGAGCCATAGTTTGGCTGAATTTTAGCTTCGGTGAAAGCATTTTTTTCATTTCTCTTTCACTTTGGAGGTGTCATATATACAGTATGCCCGTTGTCCTTTTCTTCATATTCTGGGGTAAGTATCTCCTTAGTCAGATATTTGAGCGCACACAACAAATAATGATTTTTCTACCATCCACAATTTTCCAGCATAATTCTTGAGAGCAACAGTCCTCCTGTAACTTCAGCTATGCCCATGGCCAGACTGTTTGCAGAATTAGGTGTGCCTGAAGCCATTAACTACAATGAATGTCAAACAAAGTGATTGAATCTGCCTCCATATTAATATTAATTTTATTATTATTAATAATATTAGTATTTGTCACAACTGACAACCGTAACCCTTTATGGAGCTCCAATGGACATTGAAGAGTAGTTCTCTTCATGCAAACCGAGGGTGCAGAATCAAATCTGGGACCATAGTTGGGAGCTGAAACTGCTCACCCCCACAACACCAAAATGGCTTTGTGGGACAAAAACGCTACACCAAAATTGGCCTCCAAGTCAAAAGAAATGCTATTGGGAAAAGTGGAAATTTTGCCCAAGTGAAGAGAACCAACAGAAACCCAGCGTTGCTTGAAAGAAAAGCAAAGAGATTGCGAGGAAAGCAAAATAGGGTCGAAAGGGTTATATATCGCTGATCATCAAAAGAGTTGATTACATCCTTTACATGCTTTAGAATAAGAAGGAAGATAATTAAAAAGCCAAAGGAGGAAGAAGAAATGAAGGATAAGAATGAATTCTTCGCGTTGGTCTTCACTACACTAGGCATCAGCACAAGCGAAAGCCTGAGTTGATATTTCCAGAAACTTGGAACAGTCGAGGTAAATAGGTGTAAGAGATGATCTTCTATGACTTGTTGACAAGCTGAGATCAAGCCAACTACTTAAGTCTAGACACATCCATCCAAAACCTATAAACAAACTCAAATGTGAAATCACTTATCTGTAAAAAGTTTATCCCTCAGATCAACCAGTACACCACAGGACCGAAAAAGGGCACCCATTTCTAAAAAGAAATCAACGGATGATCCAGGAAACTACAGGCCGGTCAGCTTAATGTCTCTTTTGAATAAATCAGTGGAAATAATGATTAAGGACCACGCTGCCATCTTTTTGCTAAAGAAGAATCAATGCAGACATCTGCTAAGATGCTTCTTGCCTCCCTGCCTTTTAAAGTTCACTGAGAGTATCAACAAGCATATGAAGTCATATAGTAAGCATTCTTACTCGGACTTCTAAACAGCCGTTGACAAATAAATGCCTGAGCAAATTCAGCAGTCAGGAGGAACAAGTCCGCCATGGATTAGTAACTGGTTAAAGAACAAAGCAGAGAGTAAACTTGTCTCAAAAAGGAAGGATGCAAACAATGGTGTTTTTGAAGGTTCTGCCTTAGAAGTGGGGCTTTTCAAGCATCCAGATGCAATTTGGAATTAAACAAGGAAACCAGATAAGAATGAAATTTTTCTCTTTTCTTAACAATAATCCAGAGAGTTGGGTTAAACTGAGACATTTGCTAACAACACCAAGTCATTTAGCATGGCAAACACAAGTTATGAGGCTGAAGGACTGCAAAATTATTTTCCCAAACTGGGGAGAAAAGACAACAAAATGGAAGCTGCCATTTAACTTTGGAAATAACCATGGCCAGGTTCAAACATCACTCCAAGCCCATAGTGGATGTAGTGAAAAAGGTAAATTTCACATTGCAGACTTTAAAGAAAGTGATTATAAGTAGAACTGTCTTTTCACAAATCTTTACGCAGTTACAGTTAGTTGCAGTAATTGCACCAAAGACATTGTAGAGTTGGAAAAGTTATGCCAAATAATCAAGAGGTAACAGGAAAAGTCAAAATGTTCAAGATTTTTAGTTGAGAGGAAAAGAGATGAGTAAGGAGAGACGGGTCAGTATAAAATTATTTACTGTGTATAGGAAGTGGAAATGAAGGTTATATTCTTTTATAATCCTAGAAACAAGATCATCCTATGAAGATGAGTAGGAGGAGATTCAAAATAATTCTTTCTTCACCCACTATATAGCTAAACCAGTGTTTCTCAGCCTTGGCAACTTTAGGATGTGAGGACTGTAATTCCCAGAATTCTGGGAATGCTGGCTGGGGAATTCTGGAAGTTGCAGTCCCCACATCCTAAAGTTGCCAAGGTTGAGAAAACTGAACTAAACAATGGATATTGTGCTACAAGTTGTCAACTTTGTTGGCTTTAGAAGGGAATTAAATGATTTTATGGAGCATAAAGCCATCAAGATCCCAACACTTATATATTTCCTCCAATACTAAAGCCTCTCCACGGAAAACAGGTGAGTCAGTATTAATGAGGCACATCAGGCACAGGTGAGTCAGTATTAATGAGCTGGTTAGGATTTCTCAACAGCTTATGGTTGATCACTGCCCAACAGAATGATCTGATCTGGACAGGAGATAGGTCATAAAAAGTTAAGTCTTCCTTGAGTTGAACCAGACTTCAGGCACACCCATATAGTTTTGTAGCCTTCTTCTGGGTGACTTTCCAACTTCCTATCTAGCCTATAGCCCTGGGATTCCCTGATAGATGCCTACGAAAGTATTAGTCAGGTTTAACTCTACTTAAGTTTTTCCAAGATCAGTCTTGAGGTCAGCTAAGCATTCCACCTGCTGAGGGCAAAAGGCAAAGCTAAGCTGGGCTCCTGGTGATCATGTCACGTCTATGTGGTTTTCTTGGTAGTGACACAGAAGAAGGTTGCCATCACCTCCTTTAGAGATGTTTTTTTCAACTTATCAATCTATCTTACCATCTTGGAATTTCCTGGTATTCTCCCATCCCAGGACCAGCAAGGTCAACCCTGCTTAGATTTTCAAGACCAACCAAGCCATAAGAAGGGCTAATTAGTTAAAAATAACAAAAATATAAGGAAACCAAAGCTTTCATTACCTTCACAAGTGAAGCCATCCGGCTGAAGCTGGTAGCCCATGAAACAAGAGCAAAGGACGCTGGATCCTGTGTCCCTACACTGCTGGGTACAAGGACCTCCACCTAAACCCCAAGAATAAAGGCAGAATATATTCCTTTCTCCAAAGATTGGCATATCTTCCACTAAAGAAACCTTCCCCAGCCATAGCAATACACTACTGCAAAGCACTTGCAGATAGGGCATTAAAACAACTCATATGCAATCCGCTTCCCCAAGTCGTAAAGGCTATATATTTCCATCCGCAAGGGCTAGGGGCTGCCTTTGAAGACCACTCAGAAGCGTAACTGGTCCACAAGGCAGCAACCCACCCAGTGACCAGGTGGGATCAATTCTGTGGACCCTGCAGGGGCTGCCAAGACATTCTTCAATACGTTTCAAGGAGCAGGTTTTAACCTATAAAGTCCTTTAAAACCTATGAAGTATCTTCAGGACTACCACATCCAACAACCAGGTTCGATCTGTCCAAAGAGTCCCTCCCAGGAGCTTAGCTCAGAGACACTGTTTCTCCATGATCAGCCTGGCCCTCTGGAAAGGCCTGCTCTTGTGGATTACAGCCTTCCAAAAGCTCATAAAATTGACTGATTCTGGACGGATTTAGTTCTGTCATATATGATCTTTATTCATTAACTTAACAGGAGTATCCATGGAGTAGGGGTCAAAAAGGTTAAGATGATGGCCACAAGCACTGGAATGCTTGTGCAACAAGGTCCTTGCATCGGATTGCTCCTAGAAGCATTTCCCTGTTTGTTGACCCCAAACTCTCCCTGGTTTTCCAAGGAAATGGCAGAAGAGGTGCCTAAAGCGCCGTCGGAGAAAGTCAAAGAATAAAGCCAACCAAAGTTGCATAAGAACCCATATTAGGGAATCCATTGTGGCAAGAAATGCACCAAGATGCAAATGTATTTCCACTGTATCCTCAGATGACCTTGAAGACCACTTTGACTGGTCCAAAATGCGGTGTGTGCAATCATGGGCCTGCTCACAGTTATGCCGATACGGCACCTCTGCTATGCAAGTGGGACTGGCTACCATTGAGCATTTGGGTGTGATTCAAGGTGCTGGTTGTTACTTACAAAGCCCTGTTGAGCAGCGTCCACTTGTGGAACCCAGGAGGTGGGCCGTCTCCGTCATGGCACCTGTCCTTTGGAATACCATTCCCCCCGCCCACGTATGGACAGCCCTGACCCCGCTGTTCTTCAAGCAAGCCCCAGAAGGCCTGGTTTTCCCCCAGCTTTTGGCTAAGACAAAGTGCATACCCAGCAAGGAAGTAACCTTTGTTAGGTCAAGGTTAGTTTTTCTCCCCTGATAGGACCATCTCTTATTTGTGGTTTGAAGTTTTTCATCCTTGTACGCAGCCTAGACTCATTGGTGACTGGGAGGCCCAAGAAATTTAAATTATAAAATGAGGAAATTCATTAGAAAGGTCAAGAGTCCTTCAAGCTGACCTTGACTCGCATGGACACAAGTGTTTCCCCACTTTCTCCCAAGATCATGATGATTAGATTTATACCTGCCCTGATTTTGTGCAATGCCATGTGCTGTGAGTAACGCACCCTCTTCCTATTTTTCTCACAAGAACAACCCTGTGAGGTGGGTTGGGCTGAGAGAGAAGGACTGGCCCAAAGTCACCCAACTGGCTTTCCTGCTTAAGGGAAGAGTAGAACTCATGGTCTCCCAGTTTCTAATCCAGCACCTTAACCACTAGACCAGCCTAGCTCCTCTAAACTGAAAGGACATTTCACAGTACAATGATGTGATTCCTCAGTCCAACCCATAGCCCTGGGATTTTGTGATGGCCTCTCATCTAAGTACTAACCAGCCTCAAACCTGCTTACCTTTTCAAGATCAGACAAAGTCAGCTAAGGCCTGCCAAATATGGAGAACTGGTATATTTTAGAAGATAACGGTGAATGAAAATACTGAATAAAATTCACACTGCTTCTACAAACTCTCAGATTTAATTAATTAATCAATCAATCAATCTAATGACAATGCTTGGTTCTCTCTGATGTTCCCCTCCCACAATATGAACTAGCTTACCTCTGCACCGATCATTCAGATAATGATCCTCAAGGTTAGCTTCCGTTGGAGAAACCAAACCAGCATCAAGGAGTGAAAGAGAGACATGTTGTTACTTAAATTGACTTCCAAGATCCCACATCATTCTTACCAGCCGTGTTAAGCCTGAGGGTAGTATGAGCTTTTAGGAAAAGAAGCGCTTCTCTGGGGACATATTCTAACATAATTCTACCCTTAAGCCAACCAACCGCACTCTGAACTGGTGCAATCTTGTTTGAATCATGCCTTTAGTGCAAGCAGGTTCACCCCACAGCGATACATAGTTAGTTAATCTAAGGCAGTGTTTCTCAAGCTCAGCAACTTTAAGATGTGTGGACTTCAACTCCCAGAATTCCCCAGCCAGCCATGCTGGCTGGGGAATTCTGGGAGCTGAAGTCCACACATCTTAAAGCTGCTGAGCTTGAGAAACACTGGTCTAATCTGATGATAGCTAAACAACAAGATGACTTAGTTCTGCATAGAAGTGAATTGCACCTTTCAGACAGGAGAGCTATTCTAATTGCCCTTCCTCAACTAACAATGAAAACCTACAAGCTTTCACTGTTAGGGACGTCTGCAGTGGAAGCCAGGATGAGGGATATCACGTGCATCGTTGAGGCTTGCACTGGACCCCCATCTTTGTGCCCCGAAAAGTACTCAAAAGTCGCCATCTGTTGCAGTAACTCTTTGCTCTTAAGCATTCTTGGAGAGTGCACACATGAGTTTTAAGTTGGACCTGTCTATCTGTGGATTGCAAGGAGGGCGTCTCTCACCCCAAAAGTCTACCATTCATTTCATAGGCATGTGTAGGGTAGGTTTAACCGATCATCGGGGAACTTAAGAAACCTTGACCAGGAGAAAATGTTAGGGAATTGGTTGACTCACTCATAAACCTAGCCCATATTGTAAATGATTTGCTTTGGCTTAGCAGATGGACAAATCCAGATGTTGTTTCTTTCATGGCATACTTCATGGCTACACGCTCAGTTGGAACAAATACATCACCTTATAAGTTAGCTTGTAAATCATCTACATTTCCCAGTGTTGATCAGTTTAATGAACTAACAGGTGCTCTCGGTGACTGATAAGTTCTAGCTTCTCATACCAGGGAGATAAAGGTGTTAGCTTTGACTGAACAAAAATAGAAGCGCTATTTAAACACCACCTTCACTACCATTTCTACTCATCTCACAAAAACCTTTACCCTCTAGCTCGAAATCATCTTTACTGCAAAGTTGACTGAAGTCACACCAAAAAATCGTTTGCTCCCTGTTAGTGTCAGGGGGCAGTTTCCCTTTTACATCCCCAGTAGTTTCAACCCACCGCTTCTCCTTCCCACTTTTCAATGGACTCTTTGCCCTCACTTTAGTGGCCTTGAAGCTGAGCGGTTCATAGTTGTTGACTCAACAGACATCTCTGTCCTGAGAACTGTCAGCTGTTCACTTATCTCTCCCAAAATGGGAAGAACAGGAGGACAAGTTTCCATGAGATACAGCTGGCCCATCAAAGAGACATCTCAATAAAGAATTCACAAGTTCAGAAAGCATGCTTCTAGAAGGTGATGGATGCTTAGAGATTTTTCAGCAGGCATATAAACAATGAAAATGTGTGCCTTGGCAGTAGTATGAATTCTAAAAATCACATTTCAAAGATAGCGGTGGGCAATATTTTATCTTTTCTGGGCCAGCTTACCCAAGAAGTAATCTGTTGAAGGGGCACATTGCAAATCATAGAGGCAGATTTACAGTCAGTGATGGAAAGGTTTCGAACTGGAAGTCGGTGGGACCATCTCTCTTCCTCCTCGCCCAGTTGACCCCAGGGAAAGGATGGATCAAAATTAATCACTTGCAGAGAGCGGCTAAAATTAGGATGAAGCCAAAGGCAAAACGTGGCCCAACCATCTTAACCAACAATTTGGGAAGCTTAAACACATCCTTCTGAAGCTACCTTAGATTATGCTTCCCAGCTGCTGTTGCTAGAGAACTGGCTGGTTCATTCACTGTCAAAAGAACAGCAGTATAGGAAAAAGGGAAAGTTTCCTTGGAAGCTTTTCCAGTAACATCTAGATGGCTAGATGGAGGAACGAACACAAGATTGACACGGTAAATGGTGTGACTCCTACCCCAAGCAGCTTTGCTCTTCTGGGGAGCAAGGCAACATAAAAAGCAGCCTTCAGCCTTTTTGACTTCTGAAGCAAAAGATGTTAAAGGTTAGTCTCAAATCCTACAAATAAAATCTCCCTACACCTGTGTTTCTCAACCTTGGCACCTTGAAGATGGGTGGACTTCAACTCCCAGAATTCCCCAGCCAGTTGAAGTCCACCCATCTTCAAGGTACCAAGGTTGAGGAACACTGCCCTACACAGTTTAAACCATCTCATGAACAGCATGCAACAATTCTACAATTCAAACCACGTTGCTCCTTCACCCAAGAAAGTTTTCTTCCTTGCACAACTTACCCAGGTCTTTGTTAGGACCGTCAACGATCACAGCATCTGCGTTTTCTTGCCCTTCGACACAGCAAGCTCTGAACACCAATCCGCACTGATAACCCATGAAGAGGCTCTGTTCACAGCTGTTGCCTTGTTTCTGGGCCTCCTTCCCCAAAAAGCAGCAGTGACAACATTTCTGTGCAGTGGAAATTCATTGACATTCACGTCACCACAGCCTCAGCTGTCCTTCTCCTAACACAGTGACCTAACATAGTTTTCTACGCTACCTTTTGGGGTTAATCCTTTCCAAAGAGCTCTGGAAATATTTGGATTTTTAAAAGTTCTGGGCAACGCTACTCAGTTGCAAGCCGCAAAAGATGTCTCACGTTCGAAATGGTCCGCCGTGACCATCCTGGAAGTGTTTGGAGATTGAAAGTGTTTTTGTGATGTTTGGAACAACCTGCTTTGAATTTGGGACATTTACTCTCCGAACGTATTCAGAATTCTCGATCGCATAATTGCAAGCTATAACACTGCAGAATTAAAATATGATTACTTGTGATATGTCTTAACTGAAGTAAAGGCAGGAAGGGAAAAAGATTTAAAATAGCAATGGTCAGATATGGAGCAATTAGAAGAAAAGTCTTCAAGACTCATTAATAGGTCAGCTCTTGACAAGTGGGTTTTCCAAATGGTTAGGCATTCTTTTTTAGCTCTCCCACCCGCTAGTCCGAATCAAATCTGCCCATATTATTTGAATTATTCTGGAAAGATGCCACGGATCTTACTAAATATCTCATTTAACGATTCTACGTTAAATACAACCTGAGAACTTTTCCTCATTATTGAGCTACAGCGCTCTCCATCCATCCTTTGGTTGACAATTCAGGTTTCTGACATTCGTGAAATAATAAATTATGCATTTCATGGAAATATCCTGGAGAAATTAAAACCAATTCGGCCAGATTTTTTTAAACAATTTGTTTACAGTTGATATTTCACGGGAATCCCATCCAGGGGCAAAAACGTCAAAGGCAAACACACAAAAAAGGCCCACCCTTTCCTGTCTGCCCACTTCCTCTCATTTCACATTTTCTATTTTTATTTCCATCTATCAACTTGGTACACGCTCATTAGGAGAACGTTCTGTCCCAGAATCTTTTAGTTTATAGCACGAAACATTTTGTACAGGAGTTGGTCATTTCAACACCTAGCACCAGGGCCCGTTGTGAAATATCCATGGTTTCAGTGGTGCTCATCAACTAACAGTGGTCAAAGAAATGGTCCCACAGAGATTCCCCTGGTCTGAAACCCACAACACAGAATTAAGCACACAGAACAAATGCAGAATGTCCAAGAGAGCTATAAACCATCTTTTCGGGCAGGGTTCCTCAAGCTCAGCAACTTTTAAATGGGGGGGCTTCCACTCCCACAAATTTCCCCCCCCCCCATCTTCGTCGGG